TACACAGTGGTAGAATACCTGACCACTGTGACTGACCCAAATTTAAGGAAAGCTTTGACTATGTACAGACTCAGTGAGCATAGCCTTGCTATTGAGAAAGGCTGCCGTAGGCAGACCTGGCTCTCAAGAGAAGACAGGCTACGTGCACACTGCCTGCCAATAAAGCCCTTAAATTGAATTGAATTGAATTGAGAGAGAGAGAGAGAGAGAGAGAGAGAGAGAGATAGAGAGAGAGAGAGAGACAGAGAAAGATCAAAATCCAGAGCAATTAAATTCTACAACCCCCTAAAAAGAAGTGATTCTCAAACCTTCCATATCAAAGCCCTCACCTACAGGGAGATGAACCTGGAGAAGAGTCTCCTCTGCCAGCTGGTATGGGGACTCTGCTCACAAACACAAACAGACCCCACAGAGCCCCAGGACAGCAACACAATTAGACCCAACCAAAAATATAATTACTTGACACATTGGAAAGAATCAACAAAAAAACAGAGCAAACTGGGATGTTATTTGTCCCTAAACAGAGAGTACACAGTAGCAGAATACCTGACCACTGTGACTGACCCAAAATTAAGAAAATCCTTGACTATGTACAGACTCAGTGAGCATAGCCTTGCTATTGAGAGAGGCCGCCATCGGCAGACTGCCCACAAAATTTGGTGGAAACTCAGCTGCACTTCCCAACCTTCTGCTGACTGTATGACCATATCAGAGACACATATTTCCCTCAGATTACACAGACCCACAAAGAATTTGAAAACAAATCCAATCTTGATAAACTCCCATATCTATTAGGTGAAATACCACAGCGTGCCACCACAGCAGCAAGATTAGAATGGCTTGAACCCTGACTATATCAGTAATTAATAAAACCGTAACCCCTTTCATTTATGATACATTTCTGGATGGATTTCTGTTTCACACAAAAACTACATTTGCCACACTGCAACACAAATTATCCCCAACTGGTAGATACATTGTGCCTTTTTGCCAGTACTGAAAAAGGTAGATTGCATCACTTATGAGCTAATTGCGTACGCCTACATTTAATATCCACATTGTACATTATCAATGCTTTGGCTTAGCTTCATATGAAGTACTTTTGCACTCTAATATCCACTCAGTATGTAGCACTTCAGAAACATGTTAGGATTCAAACAATTTTCTCACCATTGAGTGCAATACAGTATAGGCCTATCACAAGGCCTCCTTTGCAGACCCTGGGTCTCAGCTGTTGGTTATGCTGTATAGGCTAGATCTGACTAGTCACTAGGATGATACAGAGACCTAAATGACACATGGCTTCGAATAAGGCCTCGTTAGTCTGTCTATGATGCATGGTGACTTTTGAACCTATAACCATGGTCTCCCTGAGTTTATGGCACTTCTGTTTTGTCTTTGTGTCTGCTTTGACTGGAAACAACATGTTTTATTTGAGTCATGGTCGTTTGGTTATGTGTAGACAACCCATGGAGGGATGAGCAAATCATTGGAATCATTCAATGGTTTTCAAATGGGCCTCCTCAAGTTCACAGTACAGTGTTTACCTGCGTGCCCTGTGGTGAACCTCCACAATGAATGTATGGTTTATAAGTGTTCATAAGGCTTCTATATATAATTTGCCTGTGCATGCTTTGTGTCAGTCCATGATGAAATATGCTTTAAGCTGTACAGTACAGTGTCTCAACATATATGTAGATCGTGAGACTGAAGTTAAATGCAGTCATGTGGTGCACAGTTGCCATGTGACGTATTTTTTTCATCCCTCTCTCTCTTTTTGGAGTTATGCTTATTGTGGGATGTCAGTGACTGTGCTCATTATTATTATGGGATGTTGGTGGGGGTGTGGGGGGGTGAGTGTTTCCATAGTAACGATGGTTGCTAGGGGGGGCATGGAGGAATGGGGAAGAGACTGCATGTGAGGGAGGAGGGAGGTGGATTATTATGGTCTGTACATTGCAAGGTAACTATGCAGAGTGGGGGAGGGGTGAACGTGTGTGGGGTTATTATGGGATGTCTGCCCCCCTGATCTCTTTGTGTGTGTGCGTGCGCGGGTGTTTAGTGCGAGAGAGGGAGACGTCGTGTGCAACGGCGGGCAACATAAGAAAAAAAGACTGCATTTTAATTATTGGAACTAGCTAGTTATTGTAACCCAAAAAGAAAAACGGTTGAAAGGCAAACATACGGTTTCGTTGTTTCTGTTTTCAAACAGTGGAATCATTCAACTTGTGAGTAACGTTACTGTAGTTTGTTGCATTGTTTCTAAATGTATTTGTGACAGACCTTTGTTATCGAAATTAAACAAATTGAAGTTAGTCATTTATTGATAGTTATGTTTTGGGACGATTAGGTGAATTGTGCTTCTGAACCTAGCCGGTGTGCGCTAACGTTAGCGGGCTAACTAACCAAGTGTGGGACGGAAAACTAGTAGCAAGCTAGCCGCACGATGATGGCATGTCAAATGGCTAACTAGCTATATGTAGCTAGTGAGACTACGCATAGATTGAAAGGCTGATAATCTTGAGTGGCCTAGTGCTGGTTGAAACAATTGACACCAGAAGTTATATTTTACCTACTGAGGCAGTTTATGTATTTATATTGTTCAATAAACGAAATCAGTTCAGAATATTCACTTCTGTTTTCTTTTTATTTCCACCTCCTTGCCGACCTGGACGGACTGAAGACTCGGACAGAACTCGGGAGGCAAAACGGATTTTAAAACTTTATTTAGCTAGTTAGCTAACTAAATTTAAAGTTAGCTAGCATTATGTCTGGAAGCGAAGACGATAGGAATGATTTTGGAGCCCCAGAGGATCGGTCTCTAATGCAAGGTAGGATCACTACAACACATTAACGTTACCTATTCATTGCAACGAAATTGATTTATCAAAATGTGCTGTACTTTATGTAAATAATGCGACTTAATCGTAGAACTGAGCCAAATAGACCGTTTATGCCTGTGTATCGAGTAAACCACAAATCTATGGATAGCTACTGTAGCTAACTGGTAATAACGTTAAGCTAGTTGATGATGGTTATGGTTAGCTAACTTGGCTGGTTATTATGGTTAGCTAACTTGGCTCTAGTTTGCTAGCAGTAATGTCACAATTTCTTATGTAGCTGGCCAAATAGTTATGGAAAAGTGTTTAACTCATTAAAGTAAGTTGCTGGAACAATGGACACCAGTCTACGCTAAACTGTTGGCTGGTTAACTGAGTGACTAGCTTGTTAGCTAACTAGTTGGCCAGAAGCTAGCCTGGCGAGCTAGCTGGCCGAAGCTAACGTTAGCCTAGCTTGCGTGTGCTAACAATGCTAGCTAATTAACGTTTTGTTTCAGTTGTTGGATTGCTTGCCTTTTTACATTTCAGTTCGCAAAACGGCCAGATGTTTTTCCATACCTAAGCAACTGACACAACTTAAACTTTGAGCTACTAAAATCATGCCGACCCACCGGCATATTCTTGCGGCCTAGCAAATATTACCGGTATTTTTACGTGCGGATGACAAGATGGAGCCAGCCAGTTAGCTTGAAAGATGGCAGATGACGACGGTGGCTTTCTCCTCCTCTATCGGGTGGTTGGTAGCGCCGCTTTGCGTGGTAGAAATAAATGCTGTCATTCATCTATACCGTTCTGGAAAATGTTACGGTAACGGAATTGTACATATATAGCTAGCAATCGTACAATAGTTGGAAGTACAATAAAACCCGTTAGGCTAGCTGGCTACTTTGTTTACACAACAACGGACGGGTTCGGATATGACGGCAATGCATATTCCATTAGAATCTTTGAGGGGGAAAGTTAAGGCGATGGAATTTTCTGATTTTAAACACAACAGGCGTCGCTAGGCCACCTTTTAGATAGTAGCTAGCTAATATAAGTATGCAACCCCTCGAATTCATTTACAGAAAATAATCAAGTTAAAATGAATGAATGATTTATTTTGGTAACAGATTCTATTAGCATAGCTAGTGATTTTTATTTTCTTTGCTTTCAAACCTCTCACATGTGGAAATCATTGACCATACCCTTACTCAAATAAAAATAATTACTTGGAAGAGGCGTCTTTTGTGGGACATCACATTCTGGAATTGGGCTAACTGGAATTGAACCTAACCCAGATAATGATGACATGGCATATAATTGGTCATTCAGCCCCCCTCATTTTGACCTACAGACAGCTTATCACATGTCAGACCGTGGCTACTTGGTGTTGATTTCAATGCCAACAGCCATTTGCTTAAATGTACCATGAGTAATTACATAATAGGCTTTGAACTCCATTCCATATGACTTTGCAGCTACCAAGATTGCAAGGAAAGGGAAAGGGGGATACCTGGGCTATTGAATTGACATTTTTCGTTACAGTTATTGGGGGGGGGGGGGGAGACATGGTAGAGCGAGCTCGCCAGCTTGTAGTTCTAAAAACCGGAAATGAGTTACCTTTGCTTCGTTCAGCCGTTCCTATGGGTAAAGAATGGGGTTATGGGATAAACGCCGAAAATGACTGTAAGCACATGCTTAGGAGATCTTACACGTTTTGTTATGAGATATGTCGGTTAACATGACCTTTATGAATTATGAAGCCTTTATGTGCTTTTTTTTTTTTATGACATAAATGCTTAAAAAGCTGAAGATTATCTCATAGAACAAAACGTATAAGATCTCATAAACCTGTGTTTACCACAGACCTTATTTTTGGTGTTTATTAAAAAATCCCTACAAAAACGTCATTAATTTCCCCATAGGCTTTGTCTGACGAACCATGGCGAAGTTGGTGCCTACAAAAAGACGCCATTACTATTTCTCTCTATTGCATTAATGCACATTATTATGGGTTGATTTGCAATTATGTTTTCACTTTTGCAAAAATGCAATCCAAAAGAAACCGCTCTTTTGTCATTGAGTTTTAGGCAATGGTATGGGAAGAAAAGTGCAATTAATGTTTTTGTCTTTGAATTTGAGAGAAAAACAGACATACACACGTCTATATCCAGGGTCATGCGATTAAGCTGTGTCTCTGATCTCATTGCAGATGAGGAGGAGATGTCAGAGAGCGAGGCCCCGAAGGTGAAGAAAAAGAAGAAGGCCAAAAAGAGCCGGGAGAGCAAAAGTAGCAAGAGGCGTAACTCTCGCAGAGAGGTAGGCTACTGTGATATGACCACGTCTCTTATCATATTTGTACATTCTTGGGATGCACCATGTCTTGTTTGTTGGTCAATTGGCCCAAAACTCAAACATTAGCTTGTAGACCAAGAAGGCAGGTAAAATACTATATTGTATATTTTTACATCCTTTCCAGAGGACTGGTTCAGGGACCCCATTGTCTCAGATCAGATAGCGCAGCAGAGACACGCTACCTGTCGGAAGACAGTAGGCTTACTCATAACCACCCTGTGTCCCCTCCAGGATGTGCCTATGAGCTCCCCCGAGGCCATGGAGACCCCAGAGGTGGACAGAGATGAGGAGCGAGCGGTGCCCCACTCGGACAGCGAGGGCAGCGACTACAACCCGGGGAAGAAGAAGAAGAAAAACAGGGGGAGCACTTCCAAGGAGAAGAAGAGGAGCAGCACCAGCACTGACAGAAACGGCGGAGGAAAGGACAAGAGGAAGGACCCTGAACCTGAGGAAGAGGAGGATGAGGACGATGATGACGATAGCTCGGTAAGAGTTTAGTTTGAGGATGGAGAGTTGTGGAGGGGGGGACGGTATTAAAGTTAACCAAATAATATTTCATGGTGTTAATTGAATTGTAATTATGCAACTAAAACCCATTTAATAGCTCCACAGAAAGTGATTGAATGAGCTACCTGTAATCTCTAGCTGTATATAAGAGTAGACTACCACTAGGGTGCCTGGTAGTGGTAATTGCACTTAGTGAGGGAAAAAAAGTATTTGATCCCCTGCTGATTTTGTACGTTTGCCCACTGACAAAGAAATGATCAGTCTATAATTTTAATGGTATGTTTATTTGAACAGTGAGAGACAGAATAACAACAAAAAACTCCAGAAAACGCATGTCAAAAGTGTTATAAATTGATTTGCATTTTAATGAGGGAAATAAGTATTTGACCCCCTCTCAATCAGAAAGATTTCTGGCTCCCAGGTGTCTTTTTATTCAGGTAATGAGCTGAGATTAGGAGCACACTCTTAAAGGGAGTGCTCCTAATCTCAGCTTGTTACCTGTATAAAATACACCTGTCCACAGAAGCAATCAATCAATCAGATTCCAAACTCTCCACCATGGCCAAGACCAAAGGGCTCTCCAAGGATGTCAGGGACAAGATTGTAGACCTACACAAGGCTGGAATGGGCTACAAGACCATCGCCAAGCAGCTTGGTGAGAAGGTGACAACAGTTGGTGCGATTATTCGCAAATGGAAGAAACACAAAAGAACTGTCAATCTCCCTCAGCCAGGGGCTCCATGCAAGATCTCACCTCGTGGAGTTGCAATGATCATGAGAACGGTGAGGAATCAGTCCAGAACTACACGGGAGGATCTTGTCAATGATCTCAAGGCAGCTGGGACCATAGTCACCAAGAAAACAATTGGTAACACACTACGCCGTGAAGGACTGAAATCCTGCAGCGCCCGCAAGATCCCCCTGCTCAAGAAAGCACATATACAGGCCTGTCTGAAGTTTGCCAATGAACATCTGAATGATTCAGAGGAGAACTGGGTGAAAGTGTTGTGGTCAGATGAGACCAAAATCGAGCTCTTTGGCATCAACTCAACTCGCCGTGTTTGGAGGAGGAGGAATGCTGCCTATGACCCCAAGAACACCATCCCCACCGTTAAACATGGAGGTGGAAACATTATGCTTTGGGGGTGTTTTTCTGCTAAGGGGACAGGACAACTTCACTACATCAAAGGGACGATGGACGGGGCCATGTACCGTCAAATCTTGGGTGAGAACCTCCTTCCCTCAGCCAGGGCATTGAAAATGGGTCGTGGATGGGTATTCCAGCATTACAATGACCCAAAACACACGGCCAAGGCAACAAAGGAGTGGCTCAAGAAGAAGCACATTAAGGTCCTGGAGTGGCCTAGCCAGTCTCCAGACCTTAATCCCATACAAAATCTGTGGAGGGAGCTGAAGGTTTGAGTTGCCAAACGTCAGCCTCGAAACCTTACTGATTTACATGACATTTTAGTCATTTAGCAGACGCTCTTATCCAGAGCGACTTACAGTTAGTGAATACATATATTTTTTTTATACTGGCCCCCTGTGGGAATCGAACCCACAACCCTGGCGTTGCAAACGCCATGCTCTATCAACTGAGCTACATCCCTGCCGGCCATTCCCTCCCCTACCCTGGGCCAATTGTGCGCCGCCCATGAGTCTCCCGGTCGCGGCCGGCTGCGACAGAGCCTGGATTCGAACCAGGAGCTCTAGTGGCACAGTTAGCACTGCGATGCGGCGCCTTAGACCACTGCGCCACTCAGGAGACTTGGAGAAGATCTGCAAAGACAAGTGGAACAAAATCCCTCCTGAGATGTGTGCAAACTTGGTGGCCAACTACAAGAAACGTCTGACCTCTGTGATTGCCAACAAGGGTTTTGCCACCAAGTACTAAGTCATGTTTTTGCATTTCCCTCATTAAAATGCAAATCAATTTATAACATTTTCGACATGCGTTTTTCTGGATTTTTTTGTTGTTATTCTGTCTCTCACTGTTCAAATAAACATACCATTAAAATTATAGACTGATCATGTCCTTGTCAGTGGGCAAACGTTCAAAATCAGCAGGGGATCAAATACTGTTTTCCCTCACTGTATGCAATGACACACAGTCATTGTCAAGGCAAGAACATGGTATAACTGTATGCGGCTTCAAATAACCGAGTAGCTATTGAACACAATGGCACCACTCAGAGGGCAAGAAATAGTCCCACCACAATAGTCCAGTCAGTATGGAAAAGACTGGAAAATAACCACTTTTACGCCAACTTTCATGTTGAATTGTCTCATCTAGGAGCCAAAGACGTCGTCACAGCTCCTGGATGACTGGGGAATGGAGGACATTGACCACGTCTTCAGCGAAGAGGACTACCGCTCCCTCACCAACTACAAGGCCTTCAGCCAATATGTCAGGTAACGAGATTGTCCTTATCAATGCTTGCGGCATGAATTGTATTTTAAGCTTTATCTCTTTCTAACCCCCATTTGCTCTTAAACTATTGCTCACCCTGATCTCGTCTTTTTTTGGCCTCATTACTCACCATCCACCCCATCGCTCCCTCAGACCCCTCATTGCGGCCAAGAACCCCAAGATCGCAGTGTCCAAGATGATGATGGTACTGGGTGCCAAGTGGCGTGAGTTCAGCACCAACAACCCCCTGAGAGGCTCCGCCGCGGCCAATGCCGCCCTGGCTGCCGCCAACGTTTCTGCTGCCGTGGACAGCATGGTGGCGGAGGTCGCTCCCACTCCCGCACCCGCCCCGGTCGCCGAGCCCCAGCTACCGCCTGCCCCGCCTCTGAAAAAGGCCAAGACCAAAGAGGGCAAAGGTCCAAATGCTCGTAAGAAGTCCAAGCCGACCCCCAAGCCCGCAGAGAAGAAGAAAGTGGCTACAAAGAAGGTGGCTCCGCTCAAGATCAAACTAGGAGGCTTCAACAGCAAGAGAAAACGCTCCTCGGTAAGTGCTTTCACTTTCTTTTTCTCTTCCTTCTCCTTTGTCACGTTTCTCGCTCTGTCTACATGTCCCCCATTTGCAACCATTTCTATCTCTCATTCTCTCCCCTTGCACCTGCTTAGTGATGGAGGGAAAAATAGTTACATTATGATTTATTTTTCACAATGTATCATTTTGACTATCGCAGTATTATTTTTGCAATAGTTGGCTTTTACCTCCATCACAACTCTAGTATTTTTCCTTCATAGCTTGTTCGCCATCTTCTTTTTACATATGGAGCCAATTTTTCAGCACTTTTATTTCCATGACTGATCAAACTTGTTTTCTCATGGCTCTCTTGTCCCTCTGCAGCAGACATGGTGAGCAATATGTTTGGAACATCGAATCGCAATAAATAGAATCGTGAGAATCGCAATACTTAGGTGCAGATACGATATGTATCATTATATAATATTGTATTGTGAGGTCCCTGGCAATTCCCAGCCTTACTGTTTAGTCACCTCTTTCTCGCTCATTTTGAGTTTCTTGACGAGGAAGACATTTGTCATTTGGTATAGATGCCTTCAACCTAGAGACACATTTCTCCTGAAAAGGAAGTTCCTAACCTTTCACTCTCTCGCTCTCTGTGTGTGTGTTCCTATCAGAGTGAGGAGGATGAGCCCGACGTGGAGAGTGACTTTGACGACGCCAGCATGAACAGTGTGTCCGTGTCGGACGGCTCCAACAGCCGCAGCAGCCGCTCCAAGAAGCCCAAGATCAAGCCCAAGAAGAAGAAGGGTCAGTACTCTGCAGGTGTGTCTCTCTCCCATGGCTGTGATACAGTATTTCTCCAGCCCAATAAAAAGTGGTCTTGAGATGCTAGACCCCACAGCTGTAGTTTGTGCGTGTATGCATGTCCAATTTGCCATGACTCAGTCAGTACCACTCAGTCTTACTGCGTCACTAGAAGATTGTTTTCATGAGGGCAGTATCCAGCATCTTCTTCCTTTTTTAAATAGTTTGACACCCGCTGATGCATTCAGTAGACAAGCTCTTCCGTCAGCGCGTTGATACATATCGGCCAGGAGATTTGAAATGCTTCCTAAATTCAATTGCATATGAAGTACTCCACCTACACAGTAAAAGGGAGAGGCAAAAAAAACTATGCGCATTCCGTAATGTTTAATTCTACAACACTTTATAAAATGGTTATTTTCGACCATTTACATTTGAGTCATTTATCAGACGCTCTTATCCAGAGCGACTTACAGTTAGTGAGTGCCTACATTATGTTTTTCATACTGGCCCCCCGTGGGAATCGAACCCACAACCCTGGCGTTGCAAACGCCATGCTCTATCAACTGAGCTACATCCCTGCCGGCCATTCCCTCCCCTGCCCTGGACGACGCTGGGCCAATTATTCGCCGCCCCATGGGCCTCCCGGTCACGGCCGGCTACGACAGAGCCTGGATTCGAACCAGGATCTCTAGTGACACAGCTAGCACTGCGATGCAGTGCCTTAGACCACTGCGCCACTCGGGAGGTGACCATACATTATGATTATAATGAGCGTTCCTCACAATATATAAAACAGCTAAAGTGTTATAGCATTACTGGTATTTCATTAAGGGTGCTTGTCAAACAACATGTTGAAAAGGCATTCCTCTTTTGGGTAAATGTTGTTCTGGAAATGTGCCGTATCTGTACTGAACAAAAATATAAATGCAACATGTAAAGTGTTGGTCCCATGTTTCATGAACTGAAATAAAAGATCCCACACATCACAATGCCACAGATGTCTCACGTTTTGAGGGAGCATGCAATTGGCATGCTGACTGCAGGAATGTCCATCAGAGCTGTTGCCAGATAATTGAATGTTCAACTCTCTACCATAAGCCACCTCCAACGTGGATTTAGAGAATTTGGCAGAACGTCCAACCGGCCTCACAACCACAGACCACGTGTAACCTGCCAGCCCAGGACCTCCACATCCGTCTTCTTCTGAGACCATCCTCCCAGACAACTGATGAAACTGTGGGTTTGCACAACCGAAAGATTTCTGCACAAACTTTCAGAAACTGTCTCAGGGAAGGAAGCTCATCTGCGTAGTCGTTGTCCTCACCAGGGTCTTGACCTGACTGCAATTCGGCGTTGTAACTAACTTCAGTCGGCAAATGCTAACCTTGGATGGCCACTGGCACGCTGGAGAAGTGTGCTCTTCACAGATGAATCCCGGGTTCAACTGTACCAGGCAGATGGCAGACAGTGTGTATGGCATCGTGTGGGCGAGCAGTTTGCTGATGTCCGCGTTGTGAACAGAGTACCCCGTGGTGGTGGGGTTATGGTATGGGCAGGCATCTGTGCCATCACCTCATGTTTCAGCATGATAATGCACAGCCCCATGTCGCAAGGATCTGTACACAATTACAGGAAGCTGAAAATGTCCCTGTTCTTCCATGGCCTGCATACTCATTGAGCATGTTTGGGAAGCTCTGGATCAATGTGTACGACAGCGTGTTCCAGTTCCCACCAATATCCAGCAACTTCTCACAGCCATTGAAGAGGAGTGGGATAACTTTCCACAGGCCACAATCAACAGCCTGATCAACTCTATGAAAGGAGATGTGCGCCTACCAGATGAACTAAATGCCTTTTTATGCTCGCTTCAAGGCAAGCAACACTGAAGCATGCATGAGACCACCATGCTCTCCGTAGCCGATGTTAGCAAGACCTTTTAAACAGGTCAACATTCACAAAGCCGCAGGGCCAGACAAATTACCAGGACGTGTACTCAAAGCATGCGTGGATCAACTGGCAAGTGTCTTCACTGACATTTTCAATCTCTCCCTGACCGAGTCTGTAATACCTACATGTTTCAAACAGACCACCATAGTCCCTGTGCCCAAGAAAGCGAAGGTAGCCTGTCTATATTATTACTGCCACGTAGCACTCATGTCAGTAGCCATGAAGTGCTTTGAAAGGCTGGTCATGGCTCACATCAACACCATCATGCCGGAAACCCTAGACCCGTTCCAATTCGCATACCGCCCCAACAGATCCACAGATGACGAAATCTCAATCGCACTCCACACTGCCCTTTCCCATCTGGACAAAATGAACACCTATGTGAGAATGCTGTTCATTGACTACAGCTCAGCATTCAACACCATGGTGCCCACAAAGCTCATCACTAAGTTAAGGACCCTGGGACTAAACACCTCCCTCTGCAACTGGATCCTGGACTTCCTGACAGGCTGCACCCAGGTGGTGAGGGTAGGCAACAACACATCTGCCACGCTGATCCTCAACACGGGGGCCCCTCAGGGGTGCGTGCTTAGTCCCCTCCTGTACTCCCTGTTCACCCACGACTGCGTGGCCAAGCACGACTCCAACACCACTAAGTTTGCTGACGACACAACAGTGGTAGGCCTGATCACCGACAACGATGAGACAGCCTATAGGGAGGTCAGAGACCTGGCAGTGTGGTGCCACGACAACAACCTCTCCCTCAATGTAAGCAAGACAAAGGAGCTGATCGTGGACTATAGGAAAAGGAGGGCCGAACAGGCCCCCATTAACATCGATCGATGGGGCTATAGTGGAGCAGGTAGAGAATTTAAAGTTCCTTGGTGTCCACATCACCAACGAACTATCATGGTCCAAACACACCAAGACAGTTGTGAAGAGGGCATGATGAAACCTTTTCAAACTCAGGTGACTGAAAAGATTTGGCATGGGTCCTCAGATCCTTAAGCAGTTCTACAGCTGCACCATCGAGAGCATCCTGACCGGTTGCATCACCGCCTTGTATGGCAGCTGCACGGCATCTGACCATAAGGCGCTACAGAGGGTAGTGCGTACGGCCCAGTACATCACTGGTGCCAAGCTTCCTGACATCCAGGACCTATATACTAGGCGGTGTCAGAGGAAGGCCCAAAAAATGGTCAAAGACTCCCGTCACCCTAGTCATAGACTGTTCTCTCTGCTACCGCACCGCAAGCGATACCGGAGCGCCATGTCTAGGACCAAAAGGTTCCTTAACAGCTTCTACCCCCAAGCCATAAGACTGCTGAACAATTAATCAAATGGCCACCAGGACTATTTACATTGATCCCCACCACCCCCCTTTGTTTTTACACTGCTGCTATTCGCTGTTTATTATCTATGCACAGTCACTTTACAAATTACTTCGACTAACCTGTACCCCCGCACATTGACTCGGTACTGGTAGCCCCTGTATATAGTCTCGTTATTGTTATGTAATTTTCTTGTTACTTTTTGATTTGATATTTTTGCTTTAGTTTATTTAGTAAATATTTTCTTAACTCTATTTCTTGAACTGCATTGGTTAAGGGCTTGTAAGTAAGCATTTCACGGTAAGGTCTACACCTGTTGTATTCGGCGCATGTGACATAACATTTGATTTGAGATGTGTCGCGCTGCATGAGGCAAATGGTGGTCACACCAGATAAGGTGTCTGTGACCAACAGATGCATATCAGTATTCCCAGTCATGTGAAATCCATAGATTAGTGCCTAATGAATTGATTTCAATTAACTGATTTCCTTATATGTACTGTAAGTCAGTAAAATCTTTGAAATTGTTTCATGTTGCATTTATATTTTTGTTCATTGTAGTTTGAATTGCTCTCGCCCACTTCTCTCCTCTTATTCCCTCTCTCCAGTTGAGGAGGATGGTGACGGCTATGAGACGGACCACCAGGACTACTGTGAGGTGTGCCAGCAGGGAGGGGAGATCATTCTGTGCGACACCTGTCCCAGGGCCTACCACATGGTGTGTCTGGACCCCGACATGGAGAACGCCCCAGAGGGGACCTGGAGCTGCCCGCACTGCGTGAGTGACACCTTTTACTAAGGCAATCAATGGCTCTGTGGAGTAAGTGACGGGGGCAATATGGTACTGGTCAGTCAACAAGAATGTCTGGCCAGTCGGCGTGACGAAAAAAGTCTGAGGAAATTGTCGAGGGTAACGAGGAACTATTCATATTGACCACCATTAATCAATGATCATAAACTACTAGCTAGTAGTACTATGGTATATGCTGGTACTATTTGCGCTCAAATAGCTCCAGTGCATAACTGGCTTTGCTCCCCTACCATTCAACCAGTTAACCCTTTCCCGTTGCTCTACTACCATTCACATTAACCCCTTCCCTCTCCCATCCACAGGAGAAGGAGGGCAAACAGTGGGAGGCGCGGGAGGAGGGCTCAGAAGAAGAAGAGGAGGAGGAGGTGGAGGCCGAGCCAGAGGAGGACGACCACCACATGGAGTTCTGCAGGGTGTGTAAGGACGGTGGCGAGCTGCTCTGCTGCGACTCCTGTCCTTCCTCCTACCACATCCACTGTCTCAACCCACCCCTGCCTGAGATCCCCAACGGAGAGTGGATCTGTCCCCGCTGCACTGTGAGTGAACCAATGGGGTGTGACCCGGAGGGTGATTGACATGGGGCACAGACAGTTAAAGAAAGTGAATTTGTGACCCACCGTCTCTTTTCAGTCTTATGTTCCAGAATTTGAAATGGTGTACAGACTCCGAGCTTCAAAATGGCATATCATACACTGTAGTTGGGGGAAACATGAGGAAGTAAAGCTGCTTTAAAAGTGAATGAACATATAACCCCATTTAGGAGAAAAGGGCATCAAACATTTTGCTGTGATTTTCACACTTGCTCTACATTAATCCTTGGGAGACATATTTAGAAAAGGGGTACTTTCACCAAATTGCCAAAATGGACTCCCCATTAAGAAAACAATTACAGTATTGTCTGTTGTTGTATAATAAAGATCATCTTTCACATTGAACAGCTACTGTGCTGTTCTTTGTCTACACCCATGTAGCATCGTTCACACCCTCTAAAGCCTTAGACTGACCCACCCATCTCTTAAAGAATTCACATTGGAACACATGCGAATGTGGCCATGTGCTAAAGCAGTGAGTTAGTGCTTAAGAAACACAAAATATTTCAACCAGCTACATCAAGTGCTAAAGGTAGTAGCCTACAATTTAGGAGACACTTAACACATAAAGACTTAGGTAAAAACGATCTAGACCTAGGCCTATATCATAAGATCCTTTGAGCAAGGCCTCCCGAGTGGTGCAGCGGTCTAAGGCACTGCATTGCAGTGCTTGAGGCGTCACTACAGACCCCGGTTCGATCCCAGGCTGTGTCACAGCCGGCCGTGACCGGGAGGCGCACAATTGGCCCAGTGTCGTTCGGGTTAGGGGAGGGTTTTACCGGCCGGGATTTCCTTGTCCCATCGCGCTCTAGCGACTCCTTGTGGCGGGCCGGGTGCCTGCAAGCTGACTTCGGTCGCCAGTTGGACGGTGTTTCCTCCGACACATTGGTGCTGCTGGCTTCCAGGTTCAGCGAGCAGTGTGTCAAGAAGCAGTGCGGCTTGGCAGGGTCGCGTTTTGGAGGACGCATGTTTTGCAAAAGTCCTGATCTTCTCAAAAATATGTTTGCCGGGGGATGCTTTCACATCTCTGGAAGGAAGGGTGTCAACATTGCACCGCAGCTGAAACCTGGTTCCAGCTGAGTGAAAGCTCCTTGGCCACAACAACACCAGGCTCCAGACAATTAAAGCTGTAAAGGAGGAAAGCAGACAAAAATAGACAAGATTAAAACCTTGCATACCAGCAATAACATTCATTGACCCCAAGTCCAAGCAATAAACTCAAAGTACAATTGCTCCTGTAAGTCGCTCTGGTTAAGAGCGTCTGCTAAATGACTAAAATGTAAATGTAAATGTAAGACAAAATACCTGAAGTGTTGCTTGTTCACCCTCAATCATCTCCTTTTACTGGTGGCGGAGAGCAGATTTATGCTGAAAGACAAATTCCAGAAAAATATAGCCTGTTGACTGCTACAACTGTACTAAAATGCCCTGTGGCTGTTTTTGGTAGCTAGCTAGTTAAACATGACAAACTGGCAAACAACATTACTGTAACAGCGGAATGCAACTGCCCAGCTCAGCGAACTGTGATTTTCACATTTTATTTATTTTTACAGATTACATACTGGTTTGTTATTAAGGCACATGAAAGTTCACATGTTAAAGAAGGCATTTCTGCAAAAAAAATGCATTATGATGAAAACATATTTTTTACCGTTCAAATGCCTCTCCTGTGAAGTAGTGACATGCGACATATGCCCAGATTTCTCTAACGGGTCATATATTTAACTTCCCAAATTGAAACCTAGCTCATACCCTCTTGGATAGTGTATGGGAAAACCAAACTAAATGGTTGAATGCAATGTAACATTACCTAGCTTATCTGTAGACAAGGCATTTTCACCATGCCATTATGATCAGTTTGTCATGAAAAGTGAACGGTTTAAAAACGTTTGACCTATTCATTGACTCTCCCCTCTTCTCCTCAGTGTCCACCCATGAAGGGCAAGGTGCAGAAGATTCTGACGTGGCGCTGGGGCGACCCCCCTCCGCCCACGCCCATCCCCCGCCCCCCAGACCTCCCGGCTGATCAGCCCGACCCCGCCCCTCTGGCCGGGCGCCCTGAGAGGGAGTTCTTCGCCAAATGGAGCAACATGTCCTACTGGCACTGCTCCTGGGTGTCTGAGCTGCAGGTATGTACGCACATACACACACAGGCATGTATTAAAGATTTACGCTTGGCCGCTACTTTACAGGCAATCGCAATCATACACACCTACCCTCAGTTGGCTTGTTGCAGATCTTATTTTCGCTTCTCAGTCGCACACTGAAACAAACACAAACAAAAGCGTTCAAACAAAGACGCACTTCTTTCTCACTCAAATTGATTAAAGAAGAGCTTTAATGTTAGACCCACGTTCGAGAACACACACACTTCCCCCTTTCACCCACCCTTTCCCCTCTTCCTAGTTGGAGCTGCACTGTCAGGTGATGTTCAGGAACTACCAGAGGAAGAATGACATGGACGAGCCTCCTTCAATAGACTTTGGTGAGGGGGATGAGGAAAAGAGCACCAAGAGGAAGGCCAAGGACCCGCTCTACGCCAAGATGGAGGAGAAGTACTACCGCTTCGGCATCAAGATAGCCTGGATGATGATTCACCGCATCCTTAACCACAGGTCAGACAAGAATCAAGGACTGGCTCCTAAATGTGATTCAAATGTATTTTAGTCTCATTTGAGAGATAACATTTCCAAAATGGCAGCAGATTTTTAGTTGCAAGGCCATACAGTTATAGTCTTTGTAAATAGTGTCAAGTCGATGGAAAGGAGAACTCCCGCACACATGATTACCTCTGCATGTGTTTGTCAGTTGAAGGGTTTCTCCTCATGGTGCAAATCTGCCATTGGTCAAAGCAATAATTTTAACCAATCAGTTGCGAATACCTACCGGATGTCATTTTCAACACCCAAGTTTTGCCTGTTTGTGCGCTGCAGTCAGGACAAGAAGAACAACATCCACTACCTCATCAAGTGGAAAGACCTGCCCTACGACCAGGCCACCTGGGAGGCCGAGGACATGGACATCCCAGAGTTCGACATCTTCAGAATGCAGTACTGGAACCACAGGTAACTAATGCACTATTGCCACCACCTCTATATTGCGTAGATGAAATTAAGGAGTTTCTTCTTTCTCCCTTTGTCTGTTTACGAGGGTAACAATATTCTCTGTTTGTTTCAGGGAGCTGATGATGGGTGATGAGGGTAAACCAGGGAAGAAGATGAAGGTGAAAGGCAAGACGAAGAGGTTGGACCGGCCTCCTGAGAACCCTGTCGTTGATGTAAGTGGAGTTGTAACTTTTATTGGAGTCTTATGTCTTTTATCAGAGATATGGTTTCTCTTGATTTATAAGGTATTCCTGATCATCATAAATTGTTTCAGTATATTACTGTTAAAATGGCCTTTTAGCCTCTTCTGCAGCTCTAAGTCGTGCCAATCACATAAATCCCGTATGTTGCATATTTACTGCATAGTGTGTCTTGACTTCAACAGTAACTCACTTCTCCATCTCCCATCTCTTCAGCCCACCATCAAGTTTGAGCGGCAGCCTGACTACCTGGACAGTACGGGAGGCAACCTGCACCCCTACCAGCTGGAGGGTCTCAACTGGCTGCGCTTCTCCTGGGCACAGGGCACAGACACTATCCTGGCTGACGAGATGGGTCTGGGCAAGACTGTGCAGACTGCCGTGTTCCTCTACTCACTCTACAAAGAGGTATGTGTGTGACGGAGAACGGGGGTGAACGTGCATGTATTAGAGTTAATAACTTTCAATTTGACCTTTCAAAATGTTAACTATAGCTTCTAACTTTTTATTTGTTGATAAATGTCATTGTTTACGTGTTTTTGTTGTTGTTGTAGGTAGCCATTAGTTAAAGCGAAACTGATTTAGAAATGCCAACTTGGCATATAGCTCCCTTGGCAGCCTTATTGGCCAATACCAGGCCAGCCATTTTGTATAAATCAGGTGAAATCTGACGACATTAAGCTTGAGCTTTGTGTCAACCCTCTTGGGGGGGGGGGGGGGGGAGTGATCACATGGAGACTACTGCCACCTATTGGTTGGAGTGTAGAATGCAATGCCTTTGACAACACCATTTATTTACATTAGAATTATAGATCTATGAATGTTACATGAAAAATGATATTTCTTTATTAAATTAGCTGTGGCTCAGTTGGTAGAGCATGGCACTGGCAACACCAAGGGTACTGGGTTCGATTCCAACTGGGGCCACCCATACAAATTATCTTATTTTAATTAAAAAATGTTCTTTCCCCCTCATAGGGTCACTCCAAGGGCCCGTTCCTGGTGAGCGCCCCCCTGTCCACCATCATTAACTGGGAGAGAGAGTTTGAGATGTGGGCCCCGGACATGTACGTGGTGACCTACGTAGGAGACAAGGACAGCAGAGCTGTCATCAGAGAGAATGAGTTCTCCTTCGAGAACAATGCCATCCGCGGAGGCAAGAGAGCTTCTAAGATGAAGGTGAGAATGATGGGGAAAATGTGTTAAAATGAAAACTGATAAAATGTACTTTGTTGATAAACGACAGTTCTAAAGTTGGTATTCTGTTGAAGTAAGGAAATACTAGCTGTGTCAATATGTCACGATAAGCTCACTCCTTCAATGATATGCTGGTGTGTGTCACATTTTTAACCGTCCCCCCCGTTGTGGTCATGCAGAAAGACTCATCTGTGAAGTTCCATGTGCTGCTGACGTCGTATGAGTTGATCACCATCGACATGGCCATCCTAGGATCCATAGACTGGGCCTGTCTGGTGGTCGATGAGGCCCACAGGCTCAAAAACAACCAGTCCAAGGTGAGAGATTAGAGTTGATGACTCCTATAACCTGTCTATGGTGAAGGTTTAAAGAGCTTGTGCTATGGAGGTAGTTTACCTGTTTTGTGCAACATATTCCCTTATTCAGGAAAAATATCCATTTGGAAGTATAAGGGTATTGAGGCATCCCAAATTCTATTTCTCATTATTTGGATATCCTGATTGTATTAAGTACAATGAAACTCTACCTAAGCTGGTATGGCTGAAGGTACCATTGAGGAATACAAAAGTGTGCCTTTTTTTGTTGAGTAACACTTTTTTCTCTCTCTCTCTCCTCCAGTTCTTTAGGGTGCTGAACAACTATCCTCTCCAGCACAAGCTGCTACTGACCGGTACACCTCTACAGAACAACCTGGAAGAGTTGTTCCACCTCCTCAACTTCCTCACGCCAGAGAGATTCAGGTGTGTGTGTATACACAATCTGACCGCATTACTCCCCATACTTTCCCACTCAATCCCAACAACCACTTCACATCACCTGTATCACACCCCACACATCTTAGACCAGTTATTATAGAGTTAACCTTTACTTCCTTTCCTGCATCTTCCTTTCTCTGTGTAGTAACCTGGAGGGTTTCCTGGAAGAGTTTGCTGATATCGCCAAAGAGGACCAGATCAAGAAGCTGCATGACATGCTGGGACCCCACATGCTCAGGAGACTGAAGGCTGACGTCTTCAAACACATGCCTTCCAAGACGGAGCTCATCGTCAGGGTGGAGCTCAGCCCCATGCAGAAGTGAGTGAACGTGGGATAGTGGGAGGGATAAGGTGTAGTGAAGGGGTAAATTGAATAGTGGTAAGCCAATTATATTGGCTAAAAGGTGTGATGTGGTCAAATATATATATAGTTAGAATGATTAGTTATCTTCCATAGACTTTACTTAATTAAACACAATCTTCCCTTGAGATACTCAAATCATGAGAACTTTACAATATAATTGGACTGGGGAAGTGGTATTAAATGTTGATTTTCTTATTGTCTTTATCTTTTTAGGAAGTACTACAAATTCATCCTCACCCGTAACTTTGAGGCCCTGAACACACGAAGTGGTGGAAACCAAGTATCCCTGCTCAATGTAGTGATGGACCTCAAGAAGTGCTGCAATCACCCCTACCTCTTTCCTGTGGCTGCCATGGTACAACCCACATACCAATGTTGTTATGGATAAGTGGGGGGGGAGGCATTCATTGTGTATACGCAGTCTTCGATACTGTTTGCATCTAGCAGTTGTAACTTATGTAGTCTTTTGCTGTAAGACTTTATATAACTGAGGCTCTGACTCTTGATTGGTTCCCCCCCCCCCCCCCAAATAGGAAGCCCCAAAGATGCCCAATGGAATGTACGACGGCAGCGCCCTCACTAAGTCTGCCGGGAAACTGACTCTATTGCAGAAGATGATGAGGAAGCTGAAAGACGGAGGGCACAGAGTTCTCATCTTCTCTCAGGTTAGTTACCCAACACACACCATTTAAAAAACGTTATTTAAATCCACAAATCACATTACATCTAGAAGGATTCAACCATTTCAAAGGTCTTGGAGACACTTATCGATACAAAAAGCACACAGACACACATGGACACTGCTTACCCTTTTAGATTATTTTATAGATTGAAAATGATTTTGCCTCTTGCATCAACTTTGTTTAATCACCGCCCATTCACTCCCTCTGTATTAGATGACCAAGATGCTTGACCTGCTGGAGGACTTCCTGGAGAACGAGGGCTACAAGTACGAGCGTATCGACGGAAGCATCACCGGGGGCATGAGACAGGAGGCCATAGACAGATTCAATGGTGAGGCTCACCCAACACTGACTTCCTCATTCACACTCTGAAATGGCTGTAGACACAGTGATATAGTAGAGTGTATATTATATAGTTGAGTCTTTAGGTGTATATATCCCATCATTGTTTGATATCGAAAGTGATTGATATAGATAATAGTTGATGTAGAAAGCAGGGTTTTTTCTGGATCAAAAAGGGGCTTAGGTGGTGGTCGGCACGACTGAATTTGTTCCGGTCCCTTGGCAAGAAACTCCCCAGCTGGGTGGTACAGATATATTTGTTGTATTTTTAAGCCATTACTGCAATTCTAAACTCAGCAAAAAAAAAAGAAACTTCCTCTCACTGTCAACTGCGTTTATTTTCAGCAAACTTAACGTGTAAATTATTTGTATGAACATAACAAGATTCAACAACTGAGACATAAACTGAACAAGTTCCACAGACATGTGACTAACAAAATGAAATAATGTGTCCCTGAACCAAGGGGGGGGGGGGGTCAAAATCAAAAGTAACAGTCAGTATCTGGTGTGGCCACCAGCTGCATTATGTACTGCAGTGCATCTCCTCCTCATGGACTGCACCAGATTTGCCAGTTCTTGCTGTGAGATGTTACCCCACTCTTCCACCAAGGCACCTGCAAGTTCCCGGACATTTCTGGGGGGAATGGCCCTAGCTCTCACCCTCCGATCCAACAGGTCCCAGACGTGCTCAATGGGATTGAGTTCCGGGCTCTTCGCTGGCCATGGCAGAACACTGACATTCCTGTCTTGCAGGAAATCACGCACAGAACGAGCAGTATGGCTGGTGGCATTGTCATGCTGGAGGGTCATGTCAGGATGAGCCTGCAGGAAGGGTAGCACATGAGGGAGGAGGATGTCTTCCCTGTAACGCACAGTGTTGAGATTGCCTGCAATGACAACAAGCTCAGTCCAATGATGCTGTGACACACCGCCCCAGACCATGACGGACCCTCCACCTCCAAATCGATCCCGCTCCAGACTACAGGCCTCGGTGTAACGCTCATGCCTTCGACGATAAACGCGAATCCGACCATCACCCCTGGTGAGACAAAACTGCGACTAGTCAGTGAAAAGCACTTTTTGCCAGTCCTGTCTGGTCCAGCGACGGTGGGTTTGTGCCCATAGGCGACGTTGTTGCCGGTGATGTCTGGTGAGGACCTGCCTTACAACAGGCCTACAAGCCCTCAGTCCAGCCTCTCTCAGCCTATTGCGGATAGTCTGAGCACTGATGATTGTGCATTCCTGGTGTAACTCAGGTAGTAGTTGTTGCCATCCTGTACCTGTCCAGCAGGTGCAATGTTTGGATGTACCGATCCTGTGCAGGTGTTGTTACACGTGGTCTGCCACTGCAAGGACGATCAGCTGTCCATCCTGTCTCCCTGTAGCGCTGCTGTCTTAGGCGTCTCACAGTACGGACATTGCAATTTATTGCCCTGGCCACATCTGCAGTCCTCATGCCTCCTTGCAGCATGCCTAAGGCACATTCACGCAGATGAGCAGGGACCCTGGGCATCTTTCTTTTAGGTGTTTTTCAGAGTCAGTAGAAAGGCCTCTTTAGTGTCCTAAGTTTTCCTAACTGTGACCTTAATTGCCTACCGCCTGTAAGCTGTTAGTGTCTTAACGACCGTTCCACAGGTGCATGTTCATTAATTGTTTGTGGTTCATTGAACAAGCATGGGAAACAGTGTTTAAACCCTTTACAATGAAGATCTGTGGAGTTATTTGGATTTTTACAAATTATCTTTGAAAGACAGGGTCCTGAAAAAGGAACGTTTATTTTTTTGCTGAGTTTCCATGGAGCTGAGACATTTTTTGCAGTTTTAAAGAGAATTTCCTACAATTCTATACATTTTGCCAAGGTGCTGAGAGATAACGTTGCAGTTTTTAAAGCAAATTTCCTGCAATTCTATGCATTTTGTGATGGCTAATGCTGTGTTTTTATGCTCAACATAATAACAAAAATCATACTCCTGAATTCATAGGGCCTATTGCAACCATGGATGGCCACTAGATTATCGCCATGGCAATTGCAACCATTATTGGTCACCTTATGACTTCTCCCTAAAGCTGATTTCGGGGTTAACTTGTAGTCTTACCAAGGTGAATAGGACTGATACTGTAGTTTTACTGTGGTATCTAACACAGTAAATGGGAGCTCCTGATTTTGGGGGAAAGTGATGTAAAACCACTGCAGTAGACTTGACATTGTTGAAGGTTTCAGCTAAATCACTGGTTTATTCTTGTGGGTGCATGTAATCTAAAGTTACTATCGTCTTAAGAAAACCAGCGATAACACAGTGCTTCATGGGAAGTTATGCATCTTCGTTGCAATCCCTCCATAGTTGTAGGATTTTTTTATTATCCCTGACTGTCTAGCTTTTATTTTGGTTAGTTCTCAAAGATTATATTAATACAAAATATATATGTCCTTTTCTACATAGTTTATATCTGGCTTTAGTTGTTTAAAGATGGATTCTGCAGTAGGGGGGAACAGCGCCACTGACCGCCCTACCCCCAGTGTTGTTGTTGATGTCGAGCTGAGGAGCGTTGTGCAGCAATCTCAATCTATGTATTTGTGTGTATTTGTGTATATATACAGTACCAGTTAAAAGTTTGGACACACCTATTCATTCAAGAGCTTTTCTTTATTTTTACTGTTTTCTACATTGTAGAATAATAGTGAAGACATCAAACTATGAAATAACACATATGGAATCATGTAGTATTGACTGACCTTCATGTCTTAAAGTAATGTTGGACAGTCGTTTCTCTTTGCTTATTTGAGCTGTTCTTGCCATAATATGGACTTGGTCTTTTACCAAATAGGGCTATCTTCTATATACCACCCCTACCTTGTCACAGTACAACTGGTTGGCTCAAACCTATTAAGAAGGAAAGAAATTCCACAAATTAACTTTTAACAAGGCACACCTGTTAATTGAAATGCATTCCAGGTGACTACCTCATGAAGCTGGTTGAGAGAATGCCAAGAGTGTGCAAAGCTGTCATCATGGCAAAGGGGGGCTACTTTGAAGAATGTCAAATATTTGTTTAACACTTTTTGGTTACTACATGATTCCATATGTGTTATGTAATAGTTTTGATGTCTTCACTATTATTCTACAATGTAGAAAATAGTAAAAATAAAGAAAAACCCTTGAATGAGTAGGTGTCCAAACTTTTGTGTGTATGGTATGTATGTCACACTACATGACCAAATGTATGTAGACACCTGCTCGTCGATAATCTCATTCTAAAATCTTGGCCATTAATATGGAGTTGCTCCCCCCTTTGCTGCTATAACAACAGCCTCCACTCTTCTGGGAAGGCTTTCCACTAGATGTTAGAACGTTGCTGCGGGGACTTGCTTAAATATATCCACGAGCATTCGTGAGGTCAGGCACTGATGTTGGGCGATTTAAGCCTGGTTCGCAGTCAGCGTTCCAATTCATCCCAAAGGTGTTTGATGGGGTTGAAGTCAGGGCTCTGTGCAGGCCAGTCAAGTTCTTCCACACAGATCTCAACAAACCATTTCTGTATGGACCTAGTTTGTGCACGGGGGCATTGACTTCACTGGAACTAAGGGGCCTAGCCCGAACCATTAAAAAAACAGCCTCAGACCATTATTTCTCCTCCACCAAACTTGACAGTTGGCACTATGCATTGGGGCAGGTAGTGTTCTCCTGGCATCCGCCAAACCCAGATTCGTCCATCAGAATGCCAGATGGTGAAGTGTAATTCATCACGCCAGAGAACAAGTTTCCACTGCTCCAGAGTCCAATGGCGGCAAGCTTTACAACACTCCAGCTGACGCTTGGCATTGCGCATGGTGATCTTAGACTTGTGTGCGGCTGCTTGGCCATGGAATCCCATTTCATGAAACTCCAGACGAACAGTTATTGTGCTGACGTTGCTTCCAGAGGCAGTTTGGAACTTGGTAGTGAGTGTTGCAACCGAGGACAGACGATTTTTACGAGCTTCGGCACTCTGTGTTCCCGTTCTGTGAGCTTGTGTGGCCTACCATTTCACGGCTGAGCCGTTGTTGCTCCTAGACGTATCCACTTCACAATAACAGCACTTACAGTTGACCGGGGCAGCTCTAGCTGGGCAGAAATTTGACGAACTGACTCGTTGGAAAGGTGGCATCCCATGACGGAGCCACTTTGATAATCACTGAGCTCTTCAGTAAGGCCATTCTACTGCCAATGTTTTTCTATGGAGATTGCATGGCTGTGTTCTCGATGTTATACATCTGTCAGCCAGGGGTGTGGCTGAAATTGACAAATTCACTAATTTGAAGGGGTGTCCACATACTTTTGTATGTATGTATAGTGATTGGTCTGAGTGATTTGAGTGGTTGATCTGTTTGTTCCCTAGCTCCGGGAGCGCTCCAGTTTGCCTTCCTGCTCTCGACAAGAGCTGGAGGTCTGGGTATCAACCTGGCCACCGCCGACACCGTCATCATCTACGACTCAGACTGGAACCCTCACAACGACATCCAGGTATCACACTTGGAACCATCACACATAGGCCCAATGCCAAATCAAGCCCTCTGTCCTATGCACTTAGTGAATTTGATTTGTTTAAGCAATATGGTGAAACTTCCACCTAGCCTATCAGAGGGCAAGGTGGAGCTATTACCATATTGCTTACACCTGTCGAATCCAATCAGATCTCCACACGTGTTTAGCGGTCGATTTGGGGATTGGGCCATTACCATTTCCTTGTCCTCCATCAAGAATGAAAGGTTCATACAGTTTCTCTTCCTCATCTCAGGCATTCAGCAGAGCTCACCGTATCGGGCAGAACAAGAAGGTGATGATCTACCGATTTGTCACGAAGGCCTCTGTGGAGGAGAGGATCACTCAGGTAAAGAGGCTGTCACCTCTCCTGCAACATCACAATGACCTATACACAACGTAACATGGGCGGCAGGTAGCTTAGTGGTTAAGAGCGTTGTGCCAGTAACCGAAAGGTCGCTGGTTCTAATCCCCGAGCCGACTAGGTGAAAAATCTGTCGATGTGCCCTTGAGCAAGGCTCTTAACCCTAATTGCTCATGTAAGTCGCTCTGGATAAGAGCGTCTGCTAAATGACTAAAATGTAAAATGTAACACAACAAATCTGTATCATAGAAATGACACTTTGTTGATGGATCCAATGAATGTTGTGTGTGAAACAGAGCCTTGTCTGTCAGCTCTACTCATTTCTATGGCCTAAATTGGCTGAAAGAAAGTCAGTGCAGGCATTGAAACGTCCATGTTCTCTCCCTCTCCAGGTTGCCAAGAAGAAGATGATGTTGACCCACTTGGTGGTGCGTCCTGGTCTGGGCTCCAAGACGGGCTCCATGTCCAAACAGGAGCTGGACGACATCCTCAAGTTCGGCACAGAGGAACTGTTCAAGGACGAGCTTGGAAAGGGGGACAAAGAAGGTAAAAAAATAAAGTCCCGCTGCTGTAAACATGGATGGATGGATGGATGGATGGATGGATGGATGGATGGATGGATGGAGGGATGAGGGATGGATGGAGTGGATAGTTGTTGTTCATCTGTCAAATCACCAGTCAGTTGGCTTGCAAGTGAGCAAACGAAATGTCCTCTTTTTGTTTTTGTTACCTACCCACAGCAGGTTACTGGAAGCGTGTTGCAGGTGAACAGAAAACGAGCAAAGGCCAGCAGATACGAACAGTCAAATAAGCTGATAGTTTGTTGTTTATTACTTGTTAGTGCTTATTAGGTGAAATGTTCAACATTTCTAAGATGTCTCCCCCCAGAACATAATGGAGCATCTAACCAACTTACACAAGGTTTTAGTTCTGGGTAAACAGAGATTAAAAACATCATAATGATGTGAAGATGTTTAGAACAGATCTGGTTTGAGATAAGGTTATGACAATGTTTATAACGCGTTCATTATAACGTTTTACAAACTGGGTGGTTCGAGCTCTGAATGCTGATTGGCTGATAGCCGTGGTATATCAGACCGTATACCATGGGTATGACAACATTTATTTTTTACTGCTCTAATTTACGTTGGTAGCCAATTTATAATAGCAATAAGGCACCTCGGGGGTTTGTGATATATATGGCCAATGTACCACGGCTAAGGGCTGTGTCCAGGCACTCCGCGTTGCGTCGTCCCTAAGAACAGCCCTTAGCCATGGTATATTGGCCATATACCACACCTCCTTGGGCCTTATTGCTTAATTAAACCATGGTATTGTTAAATACTTGTTTCTGATTGGCTTGAAGGGCATTATTTCCCTATAATGCACAGTATATTTGCACGGTAGAATTCAATGGCTATAGTTCATTCTTACATGTTCTATGTTTGAGCTGCTTTTGAAAGCAAAAGTCGAATTGAAAACATTATTGGCATTGTTGAATTCAATTTTCATTATGGCAAGCTAGGACTGATGGTTTGGTTAGCTAAACTAGCAAGTCTGTTTGGTTACCACGGCAACTACTGTAGCTATCTAGTAAACTTGCTAGCTACTTTAGTGGATGTTGAACACTTTCCTACCGGCAAATGAACACATTTCTAGCAGCAAATCTGTTAAATTATAGAAATTGTATAAAAGGGATAATCAGCTCGGGGCTCTATGCGTTCTCTGAAAAATTACGCGAACACACCTTCCACGTCGTTCATTATTTTCCATAGAACGCATAGCCCCTCGTTGATTATCCCTTACATCAGGGAAACTCTGTCCTGGGCCCCCCCCCCCCCGGGTGCACGTTTTGGTTTTTGCCCTATCACAACACAGCTGCTTGAAATAATCAAAGCTTGATGAGTTGGTTATTTGAATCATCTGTGTATTGCTAGGGCAAAAAACAAAATGTGCACCGAGGGGGGGGGGGGGTTCAGGAAACCCTGCCTTACATGATAATGTTTAGAACATGTTCTGATAATGTTTACATGGAGCATGTTCATAATGTCATGGTAATGTCCCCCAGGTGAGAACAAGGAGGAGGACAGCCAGGTGATCCACTATGATGACATGGCGGTGGACAGACTGCTGGACAGGAACCAGGAGTCCGAAACCCCAGAGGAAACTGAGATCGGGAGCATGAATGAGTACCTCGGCTCCTTCAAGGTGGCCCAGTACGTGGTCAAGGACGAGGAGGAGCCGGTAAGTGTGTTTTTTTGACATATATGCCACTTAGCAGACAATTTGATAAAAATTAAAAATTTTAGAAGGTTGACTCTTTGTTGTAGCCCAGACGTTGTGTGTGTGTGTCTAATTTGACACGGCACACTTGATCAATGAATAACCTTCGCCCTTCTCTCTCTCTCCATTCCCTTCCTCCTTCGCTCTTGGCCCCCCTCAGGAGGAGGAAGTACAGAGAGAGATCATCAAGCAGGAGGAGAGTGTAGACCCAGACTACTGGGAGAAGCTGCTCAGGCACCACTATGAGCAGCAGCAGGAGGATCTGGCCCGCAACCTGGGCAAGGGCAAGCGCATCCGCAAGCAGGTCAACTACAACGACGGCTCCCAGGAGGACCGAGGTAGTAGACGGGGTAACAACAAGAAGCGCCAACGCCATTATTGATTTACTTACACGTTTTTGTGTGTCTCCCCCCCCCCCCCCCCCCCCCCCCAAACTTTCGTGGATGTGTGCATGTGAGAGAGCGAGGAAAGGCATGGAGGTATGCGATGTGTAGGAGCATGGAGGTATGTACCTGTATGTGGAGGTGGGTGTGAGCGTCACTGGTGAAGCCTTAGTAACAGAGTGGTGTCAGGTGCTGGTTTGATTATAATTTACCTCCTGCATGAGGCATGCCTCTTTATCTGTCACAGTTGTATTGGCAATTTTGAATTTTCATCCAATTTGCATTATCTCTTCAGCAATGCTCTCTGTCAAACCTCAGAAAGTCTGGTAAATCTTCAGATATGTTAGTGATCTTCTATCCCCAACAATAATTACATATGATGAGCAGATATCTGTTCAAGTCCTTTTTTTTTTATGTTGGAATGACAGCTTTCCTTAACTTCTGACGCCTGAATACAATGCATTGCAATGGTGAACTACTCTACCCACAATGCATTGCAAGGCCACCATGATCTCAGGCTTCTCACCAAGAGGAAGAAAATGCCGGCCATCGCCCCCACAAAATATGGCACTTAGCACTCTTTTATTGTAGTACCCTAAGAGATGGAAGAATGAGTAGGAGTGTATGACTGAATTGGGGTTGTGTGTTGTGCATACATGGTCTGTTTTTGTACCCCTTCCCTCTTTTGAGTTGGGAACCGGTGCATCTTTCCTTGCTTGCTAACTATAGACATACTAGCTTAACCAAAGTCCCATGTGGTTTGTCAGCTACTCCCATTCAGGCACTGCGTGTATGTTTATCGTGTGTAGGCAAGTTGAGACACATCACCCCCATATCTGTAACAATGGTTTCCTTCTAGCTCTCTGTACTTGGTCTGTTTTGTCAACCTTTCACTCAAAGTCCATTTCCTTGTAGAATATTCTCCCCCTCTTTGAATGTTTAATATTTAACCCTCCCGTTGTCCTAGGGTCAAAATGACCCGCCACTGTGTTGAACCAACTTTATTTATTTTTTATTTTTGTGGGATCATTTCTGAGAAGGAGGCAGTGAGACTTTAAAGAAAGTATCACTGCCGCCTCCTCACAAATGATCCCAAAAATATAAAAATTAAATAAAGTTGGTTCAACACAGTGGCGGGTCATTTTGACCCTAGGACAATGGGAGGGTTAAAAAAATAAGTTCAAATAAGTTTCTGGACTGTGTACTGAAATTGCTCCCCGTGTCTCTTCTGTCTCTAAGCAGATTGGCAGGATGACCAATCGGACAACAACTCGGACTACTCTGTGGCCTCCGAGGAGGGTGACGAGGACTTTGATGAGCGAGCAGAAGGTAAGCGAGAGTGTATGTGGACAGAGATGGTGTCCCTGTCAGTGGGATTTACAAGAGAGTGTGTGCGTGTTTGTTTTTGGTTTGTGAAGCTTAAGAGAATAACTTTTCATGTTTTCCTTTTTCTGGCGGTGCAGCCAACTCTCGCAGACCCAACAGGAAAGGCATGCGGGGCGACCGGGACAAGCCACTGCCCCCCCTGCTGGCCAGAGTGGGAGGCAACATCGAGGTCAGCTGTCAATGTCCATCAATCACTGCACTCTGAACCAATGCTCTGTATGATTCTGAATGTGTTTGCAAGTTAGCTTATCTACTGATGGGCCTACCAACCACTTGTCTCTATAACATTCAGTTGCCATGTTAGAGGTTGGGGGTCAATCTGTAGACTACCTGTTAACACGACACTAACCCTGCCTCTCTGGTGTTCAGGTGTTGGGCTTCAATGTTCGGCAGAGGAAGGCCTTCCTGAATGCAGTGATGCGTTATGGGATGCCGCCCCAGGACGCATTCACCACCCAGTGGCTGGTCAGAGACCTGCGCGGGAAAGCTGAGAAAGAGTTCAAGTGAGTAACTAACATGTTAAACGGGTAAATAAAAATAGTAATGCCCTGATATGGGTTGATTTTGTCCTTTTTTTGTTTTTTTACATCGGAACCACTCATCTCTTTTCTCCTGTTTCTTTCTCTGTCTCTCTCAGGGCGTACGTCTCGCTCTTTATGAGACACCTGTGTGAACCCGGCGCAGACGGCGCCGAGACCTTCGCCGACGGCGTCCCACGCGAAGGGTTGTCGCGGCAACACGTCCTCACCCGCATCGGTGTGATGTCACTGATCCGAAAGAAGGTAAACCCCAGTTGCTGTGTGGGATAGTTGATCAATTCAACTGTCATACTTTTTAAAGTGAAAGAGTAACGGTGATACTGGTCTTATGATAATATATGACCCTGTGTTTCATGATCTGTCCTGACCGCGTTCTGACCAGGTCCAGGAGTTTGAGCACGTCAACGGCCAGTGGTCCATGCCCTGGATGATGGAGCTGGAGGAGAGTAAAAAAGCTGCAGCCGCTGCAGCCGGAGCCCACCCCGACTCCCCAGGGAAGACCCCCTCCACAGGGCACGCCTGCAGACACACAGCCCAACACACCCGCCACAGGTACAGACTGCTACATACTCTTTCACAACCCTCTCCCTGATCACTACTCTTTCTGCATTTCCTATGGCCAATCTGTCTTTCTCTGCTGTATTGACCTATGGCCTGCAACCCCCATCTCTGCAAGTAGACCCTCTCCTGCGATAATGCTTTTAACCCCCTGTTCCCCTCTGTGTGCTCGCCCTCCCCAGCCCCCAAAACTCCCTCCACAGGCACACCCGCAGACACGCAACCCAACACGCCCGCCCCAGGTAAACCAACTCTGTCCCCTCCTCCTCCCTCCTCCTACCTCCACACCCTCTCACTGTTCCAGGTCTCCAACATGCAGGGTAAAACACTGACCCATGCACTGCTGCTGCTATGCTGGTTTTAGTGAAACCACCCTAGAATAAGAGTGCTTGGTGTGTAACATGCGTAACTGTCAATCAATGCAGAGATAAACGATGATGTTCTGTTGGTTTAGCAGACGATCCTTCAAAGACTGAGGACGCCGTGAAGGATGGCGATAAAGACGGGGAGAAGGAGGACTCCGGAAAGACGGAAGACCCAGAAGTAAAGAATGATACACTTGATCTACATTGGTCAATAGACTAGAATAGGGCAATGGCTAACCAAAGCCAACCAATGTATCATACTTGTACATGGGGATTGATACTACAGTATATAATTGTTGTGAAGTTTGAGATTGAACTCCTTTTCCAGAATGGTTATGCTTAGTTAGTTCTCTGTGCTTCTGGTTCTAATAAATGTTGCTCTCGTTCCCCCCTCTTTCAGATAATTGCGATCCCTGATGAGGATGAGAAGACTCCTTCCCCTGAACAGAAAGCGAAGGAGAAAGAGGAAGAAGAGCCCATGGAAACAGACAAGCCTACCAACGGGGAGGTGGAAAAGAAGGATGGAGAGACTGCAGAGAAGAGTGCTGAGGGAGGAGAGGAGACCAAGTCTCCAGCAGCGGAGGTCAAGACGGACGTGTCGGAGGTCAAATCTGAAGAGTCCAAGGCCAAAGGTGAACTTTTCTGTCAATGTCATAATATAATATGGTTCAGTACTATTTTTCCAGAGTACCATTTCTATAAGACTCTTGTTTGATGTTTGCTAATGTCCGTCCTCTTTCTCTTCATGGATTTGCAGCAGAGGATAAGACAGAAGAGAAGACCGAAAGGATGGACACCACTCCTGCCTCAGAGGAAAAGAAAGGTAGCTCCTCTCTCCATCATTCGTGCTCGTTTTTCCCTTGTCAGTCGACAAACTGCAGTAAGAACATACTGTAGGTCCCGTGCCTTGCGTTGGTCAATGTTTGTCGACGTTTCTGCTTCACTCCATTCTCTCATTCACCCCATTTTTTTTTTCTTCCCTATCTGGTTCTGTCTGTAGAGCAAAAGGAGGTGAAGGTGGAGGAGCCGGCCAAGCTGCAGAACGGGGACAGTGTGAAGGAGGGAGCAGCGGCCGGAGTCAGCGAGGAGAAGAAGAAAGCCAAGACAAGGTTCATGTTCAACATCGCTGACGGAGGATTCACAGGTAAGACGACTGGAGAGTGTCGAGGGACACACAGGCGCAAACTCATGCACAGATCTCAACTCCGTCTCAATTGAGTTTTGGTCGGTACATGGTTAAGCACTACTCTTGGACTAAACTGCATTTTCAATGGTCTCAATTTCAAACAAGTCTCAATTGTTACTTCAGGGAATCACTAACAAGCTCTTCTCTCTGGCCTACAGAGCTGCACTCCTTGTGGCAGAACGAGGAGAGGGCTGCCACAGTCACCAAGAAGACCAACGAGATCTGGCACCGTCGCCACGACTACTGGCTGCTGGCTGGCATCATACAGTATCCTTTTATACCAGTGTTGACAAACTATGCTGCCCACTGTGGCTCTTTGCAAACAAACATTAGGACGGCGCACTCGAACTGACAGAACTCAATGATTTACTGTCACGTTTTACTGTCAAGTCTTTCTCTTTAAAATTTGACCGGTACAATACCGTCATTGGAATATTGCTTCCAGGGTGGACTGCCTGTAGCAGGATCTGAATACATCTATTAACTATGACCAGCTTCAAGTATTAGTGAAAGGTCACATACATTAGGCTAATATTGGTCATACCACAAACAGTGGGGCCTGTCTGTTTAGGTTTTCCCTTGACTCTGGTGCCCCCCCAGACACGGTTACGCGCGCTGGCAGGACATCCAGAACGATGTGAAGTATGCCATCCTCAACGAGCCCTTCAAGGCTGAGATGAACCGAGGCAACTTCCTGGAGATCAAGAACAAGTTTCTGGCCAGGAGGTTCAAGGTATAAAGGCATTTAACCCTTTATTATCCATTATCATTTATAAGCCAACTCTTTTTATACTCTACCCCCACCCCCACATTCCGTGCATTTGTATGAATGTATTCTCATCCACCCCTTTCCTTCTCCTCTCCTTCCCTCCCACTAGCTGCTGGAGCAGGCCCTGGTGATCGAGGAGCAGTTGCGCCGGGCGGCCTACCTCAACATGTCGGAGGACCCTTCCCACCCATCCATGGCCCTCAACACGCGCTTCAGCGAGGTGGAGTGTCTGGCCGAGTCCCACCAACACCTCAGCAAGGAGTCCATGTCGGGGAACAAGCCCGCCAACGCCGTCCTGCACAAAGGTAGCTAGCCAGCTAGCACTCGCCTAGTACGCCTGGGTCGAGTTCATTAGGGCACACTGTAGAACTCTTTGGGGCAACGGAAAATGTAAATGGTTCTGATGGTGCCTCCCCATTTTTCATTTTGTTTCTGACCGTTTTTTTCTCCATGTTGTGCCTACTGAACGTGACCCTGTGCAAAGGAATGAGAAGGATAGTCTCTTTGCTGACAACAGACCATAATACATGTTATCAACCTAACCTAAAGTACCTTGAGGCTTAGTTGAACATTTGTAAAGTTGGCAAGCACTTCCAGGTTCTCATTCTCTCGCTCTCTTTTCTTTCTCAGTGCTAAAACAGCTGGAGGAGCTGCTCAGTGACATGAAGGCAGACGTCACCCGTCTCCCAGCAACCATCGCCCGGATACCCCCCGTCGCAGTGAGACTCCAGATGTCCGAGAGGAACATCCTAAGCCGCCTGGCCAGCAGAGGCCCCGAACCACAGCCTCAACAACAGCAGGTAAGTACCCAGCCCAAAGAGGTGTGTTTGTGTTTTTGTTCACGAGTCTTGTCACGCTTTGTAATGTGGTTGTTGCTTTCTTTCTCTTTCTACAGATGTCGCAGCAGTAGCCTGGCTTAGGCTTGTCCCCCCCTTGAATCCCACCACCTCTACATTCCTGATAGGCACAGCAGAAGATGACGCACCCAAGCTTGAAACCACGGCTCTTTACGTATATATACATATATATATGGACTTGCAGCGTTTCTACAGGCTGACCCCTGGACACTGTGGAAATGATAGCTATTTTATTTTTCCCTTTTTTTTTGACTTATTAATATTATTGATATGTTTTATTATGGTTTTTTGGGACCTAAATAAAAGTGTAATAAAGGATTGTTTATTTTTATTGTGAGATTTGGGGGGGGGGGGGGGTGTGATTCATTAGCAAGGCTAATGAAAATATACAAAATAGGGAGGATTTATCTAGCTAAATTATCTAAGAGGGAGTCACATAAGTGACAGAATATTTTTGGAACCTCTTTGTTCCAATCAAGACAATTCACTTAGACATTGAAGTAATAGACTGATTATCAGAAAATATTGCTGTGCTTTTATGTAACCCACCGAAGACTTACACAATGTAGTACCATTATTACCGAAGACTTACACATTGTAGTACCATTATTATTTTTTACAACTAAAACTATTGGAAAGAGGCTGTTTTCAACTAACTAGAAAAGGTGTCTTTATAGCAGTTGCGCTGCACTGTGTGTGCAGACTATCAGATCTCACAACGGCTGGAGAAGTGTTCAACATCTCAAGAATCACAAAGGCCATGACACACTTTACGCCAACCTGGTGTCAGGGATTTTCTTATAATTATTTAAGTAAAGCCGAGACACTCCATTTAATATAATCTCTTACGTTTCGTATGTTATGTATTATTTTGTGAATGTACAATATGTTACGAATTCTATCTAGGTGGCTAACGTGAACTAGGCTACGGCAAAGTTTAGGAGTTAGGTTAAAGGGTTAGCTAAGTAGTTGCAAAGTAGCAAGTAGTTGAAAAGTTGCTAAAATGCTAAGGTTGTCCATGAGATTTGAACTAGCAACCTTTGGGTTGTTAGACATTAGCGTTATACACACACAAAAAAAATGTATGCACGCATGACTGTAAGTCGCTTTGGATAAAAGCGTCTGCTAAATGGCATATTATTATTATTATTATTATTATACACCGACCCGTCCACCCGAACCCATCTTTGCTAGACGTTGGCATTATACGCCCACCCCGACCTCATCTGTCATCCCAGCTAACAAAATTACGTTCCAGGACGTGACCACAAAGTTATTTTAGTCCCCACATAAGTCATGATAGCGTTATTGTGAAACTTTGACGATGTTCCAAAATGTATTTCTATCATTCCGATTTTAAAGTTCTATGAAGACAAACCATAGCTCTAAATGTAACGTTATGAAATGTTCCTAGGACATCTCCAAAATAGCATGATATTCAGAACCTTTCATGGATTACCAAGGAACGTTTTTAATGTTCCCATGATGTCTGTATAGCGACCTGATATTTATAACCTCTATAATACTTGTTAGAAACGTTATGAATGTGCCTATAATGTCCCAAACGGGCTATGACATTCAGTACCTCTGGAAGACTTGAGTGTTCTGTATTTTTTTTACGTAGTTCTGCAGCTCAAATTTTGGACCACACCATGTGCAACGCTCTGTCGATCTGTTTGCGTAGGGTGTTCAGGGCCCTTTATATGATCAAGGAAATGGGCTGAAAGGAATATGCACTCCTTGGTGTGGCTCAGTTAGGAGCTTGGTGGAAACACCGACAGTGTTGTGTGTTCGATTCCCCCTGGGGCCAGCCATATGAAATTGTATGCACTCACTGATGTAAATCACTTTGGATTATTAAGTCTCAAATGGCATAAATTATTACCAGGTAAGAGATCCAACTAAAATTCCCATGAACTCGGCGGAGGCACACAGAATCTATTCTAAATTTCCCATGTGTTGCACAGACGTATTTCGTTCTCACACTCGATTTAAAAAATCGTTCGATAGCAATATTCAGATGCGCGGCACGACTGCAAAGAAGGCAACCTGGAACGCGACAATAAGGAAGTAACAGGCGATCACTTTGACTTTTGAAAACGTTGTCATTGGCAATAGCAAAGATTTTTATAACTAACCCAAGATATACCACAGCCTGTAGTTTCCAATGGGAGCAAATTAATCATAGTGGCCAGAACAAGCAAGGAGGTGGGCAGAGCCAAGCACGAGCTAGCGAGATCCTATTCGCCCTTGCACTCTTTCTAAAGAACGCAACAACAACAAAAACTTTGGCAAAAGGTCAAATCTAAAATAACGTAGTCCACTCTGTTCGTAACAGATCCAGAAAACTGTATTGACTTCAAAGGTTTAATCGATGAGAATTTCGGCCAAAATCCACCTCGCTCCATCTTCTGCCGGTGTGATGAGATAACTCGATCAGGTGGAATACAACGATATTTCAGAGAGCTCTCCGTAAACCACGACCCTAGGCATGTTGGACTGGGACACGTTTTAATATGATAAACATTTTACAGTGGGTCCAACATCTTTTTAAAGAAAACACAATTTAATTGTATCGCTATTTGAGCAAAATACGTCGTTTTGTTGCGATCACCTAATAATTCAGGTAAAGAGCCCCACAGTCTGGTAGACAAATCTGAATGTTCTATCACAAAGTGAGAACAATTAGTTTTCCTGGTAGATATGGCTTCTACTTAGAAATACTATAAGAGTAAATTAATAGATGACATTCACTTCTATAAACCTGTCCCCAATATAATCGCATAATTTACACAGACCCAAGGCGGACCTTCGTGTGAAAAGGTGTTCCATGGTCTGTTTTGTCAACGAGCTCAATGTATTCCAAAGACTTGTGGTAACCAGATGATCCCAATAATTTATGTAGCCTAGTAAACGACGCCCCCTCTGGTATGTTCTATTGCAAACTGTCTAGGACTCATGTAAAATATGAGTTGCGCCTGTATAATCAGTTTAGCAGTTGCAAAAAATATTTGCAAACGTGTAACTTTTGAGAATAAATGCAACAAAACTAGCAAGCAGGTAATGTGACGTGTGAATAAATACAACAACACTTGCAAACATGATATGTGAACAAATCCAATAAGATTTTGCGACTGATTAACCTTATTCGGTGAATCGAAATTACATTTGCCTGTGTGCGTGGCAACGGTTTTGCCGATGAATGAAATAATTAAAATGAGTGTTTCCACATAGCATAACCACTACAAATCTGATTCTAACATTAGAGACTTCTCTGGCTAGCCTGTATCTAGAGCAGGGGTGTCAAACTCATTTTAGCTCAGGGGCCACATGGAGGAAAATCTATTCCCAAGTGGGCCGGACCGGAAAAATCATGGTATATATAACTTAAAAACAACAACTTCAGATTGTTTTCTTTGTTTTAATACGATCAACATACAACATAAAGCTGGAGCCTGAGGACAGTGTGTCCAAAATAGTACAAGCACAACATCACTATTAATCATAAAACACGTCAAGTTTATTTGAAAATTCTAAAGAAAAAGAACACACAAACACACAATGCCTCAGTGATTAACAGAACTGTTTCACAGATCACAGAACTATATCAGGGTGTCATTTCTCAGGCAGAAATGTAGATAAAAATAATGAAATCCTGTTCCCCAAACAAGTGCAAGAACCACAGAGTCAAGAATAGGTTAAATATACAAATAAAATAAAATCAATTAAAAACAATAGCACATCAACATAAAAACATATAAACATAAAGCTGGAGCCTGAGGACAGTGTCCAAAAGCACAACATCACTATTAATCATAAAACACCTCAAGTTATTTGAAAGTTCTGAGGACAAAGAACACACAAACACACAATGCCTCAGTGATTAACAGAACTGTTTCACAGATCACAGAACTATATCAGGGTGTCATTTCTCAGGCAGAAATGTAGATAAAAATAATGAAATCCTGTTCCGCAAACAAGTGCAAGAACCACAGAGTCAAGAATAGGTTAAATATACAAATAAAATCAATTAAAAACAATAGCACATCAACATAAAAACATCAACATAAATCTGAAAGCGTTGCTCAAACTCCCGTAACAGTCCAGTTATTTTATCTTTGAACCGCTTCATGTCTGCCACATGTTGGGTCGCGCACACATTTTTCAGACAGGGGAAGTGAGCTGCATCACCACCGGCAAGTTGCGTCTCCCACAATGACAGCTTCAACTTGAAAGAACGTATGCTGTCATAATACTGCGTGACAACTTTGTTGCGCCCTTGCAGCTGTTTGTTCAAGTTATTCAGGTGCTCTGTAACATCCACCATAAATGCAAGGTCCTGCATCCATTCTGCGGAATGAAATTCTAACACTGGTTTGCCCTTTTCTTCCATGAACTGTTCAATTTCTTCTCGTAAATCAAAGAAACGCCTCAGCACAGCACCTCGGCTTAACCATCTTACCTCAGTGTGGTATGGCAGGCCATAGATGTGGTCTTTCTCTCTGAGAAGGCTGTCAAACTGACGGTGATTCAGGCTTCTGGATCGGATGAAATTAACAGTTTGGATGACCACCTTCATGACGTTATCCATCTTTAATGACTTGCAACACAAAGCCTCCTGGTGCAAAATACAGTGAAAAGTCAAAAAATCACGTCCTCCATTTGTAGATTGCACTTTCTCTCTGAACTTTGTCACAACGCCTGCTTTTTTCCCGATCATTGAGGGCGCACCATCTGTAGCCAGGCTGACAGCGCGGGACCAGTCCACTCCGACCCTGTCCAGCGCGCCGACGAGTGCGGTAAAAATATCAGCTGCTGTCGTTGTATTTGTCATCGGCACCAACTCCACGAACTCCTCGGTGACGGTCAATGTGTCATCAACTCCGCGGATGAAAATGGCCAGTTGTGCAACATCTGTAATGTCTGTGCTTTCATCAATTGCAACCGAAAACGCAATAAATGACTTTACTTTTTGCTTCAACTGGCTGTCCAAATCCACTGAAAGATCGGAAATCCTGTCTGCAACTGTGTTTCTTGTCAGGCTGATATTTGC